CAACCCCAGAAATTGGCTCCATCATAAGAAAACTACCTACAAAAAAAGAAGCCCTGGATCAGATGGCTTTCCAGTGGAATTCTACAAAACATACAAGAGGAACTGATACCAATCCTATTAAAAGTATTCCAGGCAATTGAGAAAGATGCAATTCTCCCCAAATCATTTTACGAAGCTAACATCACACTGTTACCCAAACTCGGTAAAGATGCAACCAAAAAAAAGAACTACAGGCCAATATTTCTAATGAACATAGATGCAAAAATTCTCAACAAGATTCTAGCAAATTGGATCCAACAGCACATCTCAAAAATCATCCACTACGACCAAGTAAGCTTTTGATCTCTTTACTTGCTATCACTAGCATATAAAAATACAATAGATTTAGCATATTGACTCTGTATTCTGTGACATTGTTATACTACTTTATTTAGTTAGAATCAATTTTTCTATAAAATCTTTAGGATTTCCCAGGAGATAATCATGTGGTTTGCAAATAAGAACAGTTTTACTACTTTCCTATCTGTATGTCTTTATTTTCTTACATTATTGCACTGGGTAGGATATCTAGTACAATGTTCAGTAGAAGTAATTAGATAAGACATCCTTGTCTTGCTTCTGATATTGAGGAGGAAACATTCAGACTTTTAGTATTATATGATGTTAGCTGGAGGTTTTTGTAGATCTCTCTTAGGTTGAAAATTTCCCTTTTTATTTATAGTTTCCCGAGAGTTTTTAATTATAATTATAAAGATTCTGTTTTTGATCATAGGCTTTTATTCTTAAAGCTTTTAAATTATGGTCTATTGCATTGAATGTTAGACCAATCTTGCATTCCTGGGATAATTTTTCACCTGGTTATGGTATGTTATCATTTTGATATATTGCTAGGTTTGACTTGCTGAAATTTTGTTAAGGATCTTTTAATCTGTGTTACTCTATAGTTTCCCTTTTTTTGTTTTTTGAGTTGGAGTCTCACTCTGTCACCCAGACTGGAGTGCAGTGGGCTGCTTCTGGCCACTGTTGCCTCGACCTGCTGGGCTCCGGTGATCCTTCCACCTCAGCCTTCCGAGTAGCCTGAATTACAGGCATGCACTACCATGCCCAGCTGATTTTTTGATTTATTGTAGAGATGAGATCTCACCAAGTTGCCCAGGCGGGTCTCGAACCCGCAGGCTCGGGATAGTTTTCCTTTTTATAATGTATTTTTCTTGTTTTATAATCAGGTTAATGCTGACCAAAAAAATGACTTGCAAGATATTACTTCTTCAATTTTCTGGAAGACTATATGTGGAACTGGTATTATTTCTCCCTTAGATGCTTGGTAGAATTCATAAAAGAATCCATCTAAGTCTAAATTTTTCATTAACTATGTAAGTAGGCTGCATGCAGATGAATTTTGGGCTTCTAACTGGCCCTAACTCCCCCTGGTAATGAACCAAGTGTGCTTTGTGTTGTCACGTCTGCCCACTATTCTCCCTCCCCATTCCCCTAGCAGTGCCCAGTGAGTGCCAATCCCTCCCTTGTACTAATATGACTAATGTTCAAGGCCCACTTGTGAGTGAGAACATGCAGTATTTAACCTTTGTCTCTGTGATAGTTCACTTGGCATGATGGTCTCCAACTCCATTCAATATGCTGTGAAGTCTGTGATTTTGTTCTTTATGACTGTGTAATACTCCATCATGTATATGTACCACATTTTCTTTATCCAGTCCACGTGTGTGTGTGTGTGTGTGTGTGTGTGTGTGTGTGTGTGTGTGTGTGTGTGTAAAGATATAGTATTTTTTTTCAAAGATGTGGAGTACAATTCAGGGTTAGGTACATAAGTGGCCATTATACAGGTGAAGTTTGGGCCTCCCATTGGTCCTCGCTTCACTTGGTTTGGGATCAGTTACCCTTATTCTTGTTATGTGCCCCACCCTCCCTTGACAGTGACTAGTTACTGCCAATCTCTTTTATGTAGTATTATGATAAATGTTCAGGGTCCACTTATGAGTGAGAACGTGTGATACCCAGTTCTTTATTTCTGTGATACATCACTGATTATGATAGATTCTAAATCCATCCAAGTTGCTTGCAAATCCATAATTTTGTCCTTCTTTATGTCTGCATAATATTTCATTGTGTATATGTGCCACATTTTTTATCCAGTTCATTTTCAATGGGCAGCACTGTTGGTTCTATGTTTTTGCTATTGCGAAGAGTGTATCCAGTCCACTTTTGATGGCCAATAGGGTTGGTTTCATGTTTGCTATTGTGAATAGGGCAGCAATAAACATGCATGTGCAGGTGTCTTTCTTTGTACAACAATTTATGTTTTTCTGGGTATTTTCCCAGGAGAGGGGATTGCTAGATTGAGTGGAAGGTCAATTTTTAGTTCTTTTAGGAATTGCCATGCTGCTTTCCATAGAGGTTGAACTAGCTTGCACTCCCATCAACAGTGTAGAAGCATTCCCTTTTCTCCACACCCATGCCAGCATTTGTTGGTTTTTGACTTATTAGCGATAGTCATCCTTACTGGAGTTAGATGATATCTCACTGAAGTTTTGATTTGCATTTCTCTGATGATTAGTGAGGCTGAACATTTTTTCATGTCTGTTGGCAGCTTGTATATTGTCTTTTGGGAAGTGTCTGTTCATGTCCTTTGCCCTCTTTATAATGGGATTGTTTGGATTTTTTCCTTCCACTTTGTTTGAGTTCCTTGTAGATCCTGGACATTAGGCCTTTGTCAGATGCATACTTTGCAAATATATATATTTTTCCATTCTGTGTGTTGTCTCTTCACTGTCTTGAAAGTGGGAGGTATTACATCTCCAGACTTTAAACTGTACTAGAAGGCTACAGTAATCAAAACAGCCTGGTATTGGTAGAAGAATAGGCATATAGACCAATGGAACAGGAGAGAGCTTCTGGAAGCAAAAAACAGTCTCTCAACCAACTCATCTTCAACAAAGCCACCAATAACAACCACTGGGGACAGGAGATCATATTTAGCAAACGGTGCTGGGAAAACTGACTGACCACATGTAGAAGAATGAAATTGGACCCTTACCTAACACCATATAAAAAATAAACTCAAAATGGATCAAACTTCAAACTATAAGAATCCTAGAAGAAAACATTGGAAACACCCTTATGTACATCAGTGTAGGCAACAAATTCTTGACGAAGTCCCCAAAAGCGAATGCCATAAAAGCTAAGATAAACAAGTGGGATCTCATCAAACTATTTGTTTCTTAAAGTGAAAATGTAGATCATTCATTTGAGGTATTTATTTTCTTCTCTTATATAAGCATTTGATGCTATAATTTTCCTTTAATAACTTGTGTTAGTCTGGTGGGGCCACTAGAATCTATGGCAATAGACTTAAGCAACAGAAATGTATTTTCTTACCGTTTTGAAGCCTGGGGAGTCCAATAACAAGGTCCAGCATGTTTGGTTTCTGGTGAGGGCTTTCTTCCCAGCTTGTTAACAGCTATTATCTGTGTCTGCTCTCACATGATCTTTCTTGATGTGTGAACGCCAGGGGACAGGGCTTATCTTCCTCTTTTTATAGAGCCATAACTCCCATCATGAGGGGTGACCTAATAAAACCCTAATTATCTTCCAAAGCCTCCACCCCCACATACCATAACATTGGGGATTAGAATGAATACCCAATTCTTCAGTATATGAATTTTAAGGAGATGCAAACATTTAACCCATAGCAGCATTTTTTAGCAAATCCTACATATTTAAATTATTAAGTTCTCATTTGCTTTCATTTGAAATTTTAAAAATATTTTTGGCAATCACATTGCTTAATTTCTATATGTTTAGAACTTTTAAAGATATTTTTGTTTGACTCATTACTGTATCTGAGATCACATTTTTGTATGATTTCAGTCTTTACTGAAACATTTTTATGACTCAGAATATACTCTATCTTGGTTAATGTTTCCTGTGTACTTAAAAATAATTCATAGTCTCCTATTGTAAGTGGAATTTTTAAAAATCTTGAGTTGGTTTTTAGTGCTGTTCAGGTTTTCTATATCCTTGCTGATTAACTGTGTATTTGTTCTGTTGAATTCTGAGACAGGACTGCTAATGTCACCAAGCATAAGGAAGTTTTGCTTATTTTTCCTTTTGGTTCTATCTGTGTTTGTATATTATAGCATTCTCTTATTAGGAGCACACATATTTAATTTTATTATGTCCTCTTGAGGAATTGACTTCAAGAGGTGACATGACATTCCCTCTTTAGCCCTGGGAATATTCTTTGTTCTACATTGTGATACTAATATAGCCACTTCAAGTTTTCTAAAAAATTGTTTACATGGTATACTTGTTCCATCCTTTTACTTTTAACCTATATGTGTCTTTGCATTTAAGCTAGGTTTTTAAAAGAATATAATTGGATATTGCTTTCTTTATCCAATCTGATAACTTCTGCCTTTTAATTGTGTTAGTATTCTATACATTTAGTTCATTGTGAATGTGTTTAAATCTACCATCTTTTGTTTAAATCTACCATCTTTCTGTTTATTTATTATTTGTTCGATCTAATTTTTCCTCTTTTTTACATTGAGAATTTCTTTAAAATGCATTTCACAGATCCTACTGGGTTATTAGCTATCCCACTTTGTTTTAGTTTTGGGGGATTGCTCTAGAGTTCATAATATGTATCTCTAATGTGTCACAGACTACTGTCATATTGTATTATACCACTTCACAGACAATAGACTTCTATGTATCCTCTTACATACTTTATGCTATTATTGTCACATATTTCTTTCTCTGTATGATATAAACAAAACAATACAATTTATTATTTTTGCTCCATTGAACTATTAATTTTCAGAGGGCAAAAACATTGTCATACACATTTTAATCAAGCATTTGGAAAAATAGCAAATGTTGATTGAATGAAGGAAGGAACAAATTGCTTTCCTCTACAACCAAATACCTGCTTCTTACTAAGTTCTCAGTACCCTCTGTCTCTCTCTGACCACTGTCCTTCATGTGCCTGTGTGTTTCTGACCCAGCTTCTTCAAGGCTGTTTTCACATCCTTGTTTCGCAGACTGTAGATGAGGGGGTTGAGCATCGGTATGACCAGGGTATAGAAGACAGAGACCACCTTGCCCTGCTCCATGGACCCCACAGCTCCTGGCTGGGCATACATGACAAACACAGTACCAACAAAGAGAGTCACTGCAGTCATGTGGGAACCACAAGTTGAGAAGACCTTGTGTCGTCCAGCTGCTGAGTGCATCCTCAGGATAGTCACTGTGATGTAGCCATAGGAGATCAGTACTACAAATGTCACACTCACAATGATAAGCCCACAAATGCCAAACGTGATCAGCTCATTGAGGGTCATGCTGGTACAGGCCAACTGGAGCAGGGGGGTCACATCACAGAAAAAATGGTTGATGCGGTTGGAACTGCAGAAGGGGAGCTGGAATGTAAGGCTGGTCTGCCCGATGGAGTTGAGGCAGCCTCCACAGTAGGTACCCAGTACCAGGCGGGTGCAGGTCATGGGGCACATGGTCACTGAATAGCGCAAGGGGTTGCAGATGGCCACAAAGTGGTCATAGGCCATGACACCCAGAAGGAAGCCCTCAGTGGTGACCAGTAGAGAAAAAAAGAATAACTGGGTGGCACAGCCTGCAAAGGTTATGACCTTGGATGAGGAGAAGAAGTTGGAGAGGGCCTTGGGAGCAATGACAGAGGAATAGCACAGGTCCAGGAAAGAGAGATTCTTGAGGAAGAAGTACATTGGGGAGTGCAGGTGGGAATCCAGGTTGATGACCAGGATCATGGTAAGGTTGCCCAAAACAGTCACTATGTACAGACCCAAAAACACAGCAAAAAGCAAGGCTTGAATCTCAAGTCCACCCTCAAATCCCTCCAGCACAAACTCTTGAAGGTAGATTGTTGAGATACTTCCATTTCTGTAGATTGGCATGACCCTCAGTCCTAAGACCAAGAGAGGAAATTCTGCTTCTAATAATGGTGAACTAAGTAAATCAAACTAAACTCCTTGCTGAAGACTACTAGAAAAGATGAACTCAACAACAGAAACAAAATTTGACTGATGATATAAGAGGATTAATAATTTAGTGAAAAAATACTAAACAAAGTTTATGATGGACACAGAGAACAAGGAATTTCATTACTGAGAGCCACTCTTTTCCTGGAGATGTAAGCCAGTTTTGCAGGGGAAGTCTGAAAGGCCCAAGGAGCTACAGTGAATTTTTGCCTGTTTTGAAGCTAATGGTGACAGCAATTGATTGCTAAAAACCATCATGGATGCATTTCCAGTGGTAAGTTTAAATATGGAGTAGGTATTCAGCTCAGTTTCTGAACATTTCTGTCACTGAAATTGTATTAAAGTGAGTGCTAATGCCCCTAATTAAGCATATCTCCTCAAGAGGAAGACACATAATCCTAGACCTCAAGTTTTGTCTATAAAAGTTTTGCATATACAGTACCAGACACACAACTAAAAAGATGAGAAGTTAAGACAACGTGAATTAAAACATCAGAAGCAATAAAGAATAAGAAAACTCCATAGAGGTTTCAAATTTTAGAGTTAACAGACATGAACTTTAAAATAACTAAAGTAATTATGCTCAAAAGATAAAACACAAGAGTTTCATCTGAGATGTGAAAATTATAAAATAATTATATATAAACATGATTAAAAGTACAACGAGTACAATTAAGAACTCAATGCATCGGTCTGACTGTGGGCTAAAGCTAGGTAAAGAGAAAACTTGTGACCTAGAATACAGGCAATAGGAAGTATTTAGAGAAAAGCTTGAAGAGATCAAAGGTTGAGAAAAAAACAGAATTTAAGGTGAGAAACATAGAAGATATAATGTTTAACACTTATGTATTATGAGTTCTAAGAAAGAGCAAAGAGGCAAATGTGCTGCATTAGTATTTGGAGAGATATTGCCCAAGCATTTTTAAAAACGAATAAAAGATATGAACCTAGCCGGGTTCGGTGGCTCAGCCTGTAATCCCACGCCTTTGTGAGGCTGAGGTGAGTGGATTGCCTGAGCCCGTGGGTTCGAGACCCGCCTGGGCAACTTGGTGAGACCTCATCTCTACAATAAATCAAAATTAGCCAGGCATGGTAGCATGCGCCTGTAGTTCCCAGCCACTCGGAAGGCTGAGGCGGAAGGATTGCTGGAGCCCAGCAGGTCGAGGCTGCGGTGGCCGGGAGCAGTCTCTGCACTCCAGTCTGGTGACAAGAGTATCTCCAACTCAAAAAAAAAAAGAAAAGAAAGATATGAACCTAAAATTTTGTGAACACTACGAAACGAAAGCAGATTTAATGCAAAGACCACTGCAATTAAAAACATAATAGTAAACATACTTAAAATCAAATTAACGAGAGAAATATTAAAAGCAACTTGCAGAAAAAAAGCAGTCTTTTAAACAAGACCAACTGTAGAAGACTCAAATGGCTACTTATCAAATTTTTTTTTAAAAAAGAAGCCAGAGTCAATGAAACAATATTTCACTTTTCTTAAAGAAAATAATGGCCAACTAGAATTCTCTGCCCACCAAAATATCTTTCAAGACCAAAGGTGAATTCAACAATCATAGTTGGAGACTTCTATACTCAGCTTTCAAAAAAAAAAAGGCAGAAAATCAACAAAAAATAATAGACTTGAATAACATTAAAAACCAACTAGATATAAGAGTCATATGTAGATGATTTTGCCCAACAATAGGATAATACATTCTTCTCATGTGCACATAAGACATTATTTAGGATAGAATATATATGTTACTCCACAAAGAAAATCTCTCAATACATTGAAAAAGAAATTATACTATGCCCTCATACTTAGTATTTCAAAATGAAATGGAATTAAAATTTCCAAATAGAAGAAAGTTTGGAAATTTTACAAATATGTAGAAGTAACACAATGCACTCATGAATAACTAATGAGTAAAAGAAAAAAGCTACAGTGGAAATTAGAGCGCACTTTGAAGTGAATGAAAACTGCCAGGTAACATACAGAATCTATGGGATGCAATAAAGGAAGTGATCAGAGAGAAGCATATAGCTATAAACATCTATATTTAAAAGATCTAAAATTTAAAACTTTATACTTCAATCTTAGGAAACTAAAAAAAGAAGATCAAACTAAACTCAAAGCACACAGTAGAAAGGAAATAGCAAAAATGACAGTGGAATTCAATGAATTAGAGAAGAGTAAAACAATAGAGAAAAATCGATGAAACCAAAGTTGGTGCTTTGAAAAGATCAAAATTGACAAACTTTAAGCTAGACTGACAAATAAAGAGGCAGAATTAAGTTACTAAAATCAAGAATGAAAGTAGAGGTATTACTTCTGATCTTAAAGAAATGAAAAGTATTATAAAAGTATATTCAAACAATTGTATGTCAATACATTAAATAACCTTGATTAAATGCAAAAATTCTTAAAAACACAAAAATTACCAAAACTAACTCAAGAAGAAATAGAAAATTTGAACATACTTATGTCAATTAAAGAGATTGGGCCAGTCAGTAATCAAAACCTTCTAATAAAGGAAAGCTCAGGATGAGATGACTTCACTAGTTAAGCCTACTAAACATTGAGATAAAAATTAACAGCAATCCTTCTCAACCTCTTAAAAAAAGTAGAAGAGGAGAAAATACTACCAATTATTCTATCAGGCCTGTATTATTCAGATGCTAAAGTCAGACCAAGAATCACAAAAAAAGATGCTATAGACCAATATTTCTTATAAATATAGATGCAAAAAATGCTAGCAAATGAAGTTCAGCAGTATATTAAAAGGATTATACAGCGTGTGCAAGGAGAATGCAAAGATGGTTCAATGTATAAAAATCAATCAATATAATACACAGTACAAGTAGAATGAAGGAAATAAAAATACATGATTGCCTGATTAGATGCAGAAAAACTATAAAGCATTGCTAAAAGAAATTAAAGAATATCTAAAGAAATTGAAAGATATTTCATGTTTATGGATTGAAAGACAATAATGTTAAGATGGTAGTATCTACAGATTGAGCTATAGATTCAATGCAATTCTTATCAAAATTCCAATGGCTTAAAAAATGAACCCCAAATAGCCAACACAACCTTGAAAACGAAGAAAAAAGTGGGAGGACTCACACTTCCTGATTTCAAAACTTACTACAAAGCAACAGTAATAAAAAAAGTACTTACTTGCATAAGGATAGAGATATGGACCAGTAGAATAGAATTTAGAGACCAGAAATAAATTTATACACCAATGAGCAGTTGATTTTTGACAAGAGTACCAAGACCTTTCAATAAGGAAAGAATCGTTTTTTCAGTAAATGATATTAGGAAAAGTGGGTATCTATGCACAAAGGAATGAAGTTGGACCCTCATACCATATATACAAATGAGCTTATAATAAAGACCCACACAAAAAAGCCAAAACTGTAAAATGATTAGAATAGGACACATAAGTATGAATGGTTATGATCTGAAATTAGACAACAGTTTCTTAAATAAGACACTAAAAGCACAAACAACAAAAGAAAAAGATAAGTTGGGCTTCATCAAATTTAAAATATTTTGTGCATGAAAGGACACTATCAAAAAAGTAAAAATACAGTCCACATCATGGAAGAAAATATACACAGATTATTTATCTGATAAGGGTCTAGTACCCACAAAATATAAAAACTCTCACAATCCAACAACAAAAAGACAAACAAACCAGTTTTAAAATGGGCAAAGGACTTGAATAGACATTTTTCCAAAGAAGAGATACAAATGGCCAATGAGCGCATGAAAACATACTCAACATCATCAGTACTTAGGGAAATTAAGATTTAAAAAAACTATGAGGTACCACTTCAGTCCATTAGAATGGCCACAATTTTTAAAAGAGAGAAAAACAAGTGTTGATGAGAACGTGGATAAATTGTCACCCTCATATATTACTGGTGCAAATGTAAAAGTGGTACTACAGCCACTATGGAAAACAATATGGCAGTTTCTCCAAAAGTTAAACATATGACCCAGCAAATCCACTTTTAAATATGTGCCCAAGAGAATTAAAAACATGCTCATATAAAAGCTTATATACAAATGTTTACAATAGCATTATTCAGAATAACCAGAAAGTAGAAACAACCAAAATGCCCATTAGATGATTAATTAATAAACTTATTAGATAAGCTTTGGTGTACCTGTACAATGAAATAGTATCCCACCATGAAAGAAGTAAAGTTCTTATATGGGCTATTATATGGATGAGCCTTGAAAAGTTCATGCTAATTAAGTGATGTTGATTACAAAAGGCCAGATATTGTATGATTCCATTTATATCAAATGTCCAGAATAGGCAGATCTATAGAGACAGAAATTTCGGTAGTGGTCACCAGGGGTGAAAGTTATAGGAAATGACTGCTGAATAGGTATGGGAATTCTTTGTGTGGTTAAAATATTCTGTAACTAGATAATGATAAGGGTTGTACAACATTATAGAAGGAAGGAGGGTGGGAGGGAAAGAAGGAAGGAAGGAAGGAAAGAAGGAAGGGAAGAGAAGGGGAGGAGGGAGAGGAAAGGGGAGGGGGAGGGGGGAGGAGAGGAGAGGAGAGTGGAAGGGAGGAAGGAAGGAGAGGAAGGAAGGAAAAGAAGGAAGGAGAGGATGGAAGGAAGGAAGGTCTTCTGGTTTGTACACTTTAATGATTAAAATTGTGAGTTTTATGTCATGTGACAATTGTTTCTCAATTTAAAAATTAAAAAGAATACAGGTAAAATAAAAATATTTTTTAGAAAGTTAAAACTGAGATACTTTGTCACCAGCCGTTGCACACTAGAGGAAAAACCAAAGGGTAACCTGCAGGTAGAACGAAATCAATCCCAGATGAAAGCACAGAGATAACACAAAAGATAAATATCAAGACAAAAATAAGGATATGTCTAAATAAAT